GCCTCTCTTTAAATGTCTCATGTAGGTAGGCCCATGGATTCAAGAAGGTGCTCTCACACCATCTCAGGGAGAGTCAGAGTTGTAATTATTTATTAAGGTGAGAGGGGAAGAATTTCTGTTTCCAAGGAGTCTTGGGCCCCACTAAAACTTTCTTCAATCATCTGTAACCTTCATGCAACAGTTTCCAGATGATTGCCCCCTTGTCTTTTGTTCCCACTCAGGAAGGGAGAAACTTTTTCTAGAGTTTGCCTCTGGCCAACAGAGAACTAGGGTTCCTTTTCTACTCAAGGAGGATTGATGGCCTGGTGGGAGCAGAGAGGCTATCAATGACCCAGAAGTGTGCGAAAGTCGTGTCCAGCTCAGCCTGCATGTGAGTCTGTGCTTGGAGTCTGGAGCCTGAGGGGCCTTCTGTGTATTACAGAGACTCCAGAATCCAGATGGTGAAAGTTTCCTTGGGAATCAGTGTCCTCAGCTCACACAGCTAGTTAGTACCTGGCAATGTCAGGGGTCCAGTGAGGTGCAGTCCAGATGTGAGCCTTCTGTTTCCCCTGCGCCTGAGGACACAGTCTGTAGTCCCCAACCTCCATATGATATATTGACTTCCTGAGAGCCTTGTCTTATGCAGTTCCTCTGCAGGCTGTGGAGTAGTCTCAATTTATGTCCCAGATCATGGGAATAAGTTAGATGAGAACCGGAGTCCATGAAGTAATAGAGCACCGCACAAAAGGAAGATATATGATGTGACTTTGTGGGAGGACACAAGTGTGTGGCTTTCAGCTGAAATATTAATAGTCTCTCTCACTCCTCCAGGCATCTGAATCCTCAACAACAAGATTCTAATGACCACATAGAACATCACAATAACTCATGGTCAAAGAAACCAAGACATAAAGCTCAAGGAAGACCACACTAGCTACAAATATGCACCTGTGCTCATGGTGTGCAGGGCCTCAAGGATGAAGAGGAAGAAGCAACCATTGTTTCCTCTGCATCCTCTTTTTCCTATGCTTTAATTAAGGCCACATCAAGAAACAACATGGTTCTCAGACACCAAGTTATCCTCCAAATGCTCAGAGCATCTCCTCTCCCTGCAATGCCATGGCTTCCAATGAAAGCAGTTAATGGAATGAAGGGCCCAGAGGCAAGAAAACGAGGGTCCTAGACCTTCACATGACAGGGATGCACCTCAGTTCATGCAGCATGAGTTGGTCTGTGACAAGTTAGATTAATCAGTGACCTTTCTGCTGTGCAAGAGTCAAAAGAAGGAGCAGATCAGCATGGAAGAAATGCTGTACATTTTGCACCATGATTGTTGTGAGTGCTTCCCTCTGGTCTTTAAGGAACTCTGTGAAGTGCATGTGTCTGAGCTTTGGCATTGAGATGAGGGAGGTGGGTGCCCCTGGGCACATATATGAGCTTCTCCCTGTCTTGGCCCTCCCTTATAGTGGGATACTAGTTTCTGAGTTCCAGATCATTCCCAAAGCCGACCTCCTGATATTCATCCTGAGTATAATCATTTTGCAGGTCAACCAGCTCAGTGAGGAGGACCTCAGGGAACTACTGAGAGACAGGAAGGTGTTAGGTAAGAGGGAGCACAGTGTTACTGGGGAGCCCTGGAAATTCATCAAAGAGGATTTGGTTCAGAGGATACTTGGTGCACCAGCGGGTTACTAGGTGTGATCCTGCTCACTATGAGCTTCAGTGGGGTGCAAGGGCCCATGCTGACACCAGCCAGATGTGAGTCCTGCAGCATATGTTCAACCTTGATAGCACAAACCCCAGGTCTCACTCCCATCTCCATGAGCAGTCATCAAGAAGGCTGAAAGGTATGTTCAGTGCTTCTGAGGGGCATGATGTGTGACGGAAACAGTGTCCCACATCCACGCCACTGCTTAGTTCCACCCACTGTGAAATGAAGCCCAGGCTCAGTTTATGTTTCTGGGAATTAGGGTATTTTCACAGTGGTGAATGGCAGTTCGGGGAGTGAAAGCTTCTGTATGACTTCATGTCTGTTCTATTTGGGGATTCTGGACACGGGCATGTGTTTCCCTTATGGCTGTTTAGTACCTTAGTCCATTTTTGTAACATTCAGCTGCCTCTGAAAACTTCACTGGACAATTACATGGATCTCATCAGCATTTTATTGTTTTGAGTTGGTAGTTGAATATGATTCCTGTTGAGAATATGATTTTGTGTGACTTTGATGACAAATGGATTGTGATTTTCGGTTCCAATGGTAAGAGGCTTTCCTGTGAAAGGGGAAATTTTCATTTTATTTACAGGGAAACAAGATTAAGCTAGGTATTCCTTTAGACTGTATAAGAACTTCATTTGAAGTTAGAGCCTAGAAAAAAGTCATAAGAAAGAAATTCAATTCTGGGATTCTTACTTCCTTTTCTTCTGTTGTTCTTTACTGTTAAAATACCTGCATCCCAAAATATCCTTGGTTTACTGATTTATATAAGGTAAACTTGCTGTCAGTAAAGGATGCATCTGTTGCAGCCACGTCGACACTGAATCATAGTTCACAGGGTTGCACTCTGCTAGCTTGTACTTCCAACTGCTCTGTTATCTGCCCTATGGTCCTTGCAGACACCTCTCTATCTCCCAACATGGAAGGTGCTGTTGATCTACACCATCCCATGGGATAGGTTTGATCCTGCTGTGGCAGTGAGGAAACTGCTTCCCACGGAACCTTTCACCATCTGGATCCTTGAGTTCCTGTAAGACACAGAGAAAGCCCATCAAGTGCAGACCCCAAGCTTAGTCCTGAGCCCCCAGCACTCCCATGAGGAGTGTGCAGCACAGATGAGGTCGCCACACTTCTGGGTGAACGATCACCTCTCTGCTCCCTCAGGCCGTCCATTCTGCTCAGGTAGGGCCTGGACCTAGCTCTCTGTTCAACAGATGCAAACTCTACAAAAAGCCTCTCCCTTCCTGGGAGGGACAAAAGACAAGGGACGCACATTTGGACACAGCTGCATGGAGGCTGCAGGTGGAGGCAGAAAATTTCACTGCATTCAAGAGCCCTAGGAAAGGGAACCTCTTCCTCCCTTACCTTGATAAATGCTTACATCTTAAACTCCTCTGGAATGATGTGATATCACCTTCCCTACATGCGCCTGTGGGAAAAGACATTTAAGGAGCAAAAGAGGTAAATCCACCACTTGTGTTCCCTGGGTTGGTAACAGATGACAAAGGGACAGGTTGTGGTTAGTGTGTCTGTGATGGAGTAAACTGAACTGAGCAGGATCAAAAACTACAGTTATATCTATAAAATATTAACAATAAAAATTAAATGCCTCAACAAGAGTTTCTAAGCTCCTCCTCTCCATCTTCCTACAGATAAACTGGAGGGAAGTCCATCACTAGAGCTATCAAAGGGCCAACTGGGCACAATCACTTCTCCAGCCCCTTAAGAACAGTTTCCCGATGTGGCTCTTACCCAACTCGCCTTTCCATTCTAGTGCCTTTGTTTTGATGATACATAGGTAGGGTCTGGGAAAATTTGGTTGATCTTTCCTAGACGCTGCCAAACTGGAAGCAATCCTGCAGATGGAACCAATGATGAATGTGCCTGACTCCTTTTCTTGTATCCACCAGATCGACCTTGTGAAGAGATCGCAGGCGCCAAACTATCCCCTGGCTTCTCTTTGAGGCCCATTACAGTAGCTCTCTGCAGAGGGCTCCTGACTCGAAAGTTAGACGACAACCAGGTTCCTTCTTCCCATCCACAGTTGGGGATCCTTTTGAAGGGAGAAATATTGTAGACAGCTAATTCAATTAGAAATACAGTAGCCTGGGCCCTGTAGGAGAGGAGAATGCATCACAAATGCAGCAGGAGGTGCCCCGAAGATGAAAGTTAGAGCAGCTAACTTTGCACACTTCCCTAAGCAATGAAGGAAGGGTAGGGATTATTGGCATCACCCTTCTGAGATTGCCTATTTTCCAATTAGACTTCCTCTCCCACCTGACAGGACCAAGACCTCTAAGACTCAGGTTAAGACTAAGTCACAACTAATACTGCTAAGACTAAACACAAAACTCATGAGATTATTAACCAAGTTTAATGTTGTCACGCATGTACCCTTGCTACCGTTAGATCAATATTGCCTAAGTGACTGTAATTGCAATGCTTTTGCTTTATCATAATTTTTGCTCATGTAGTATCTGCCCCATGACTTTACTCTATAAAACTTTCTTTGAGAAGTGAGTTTGAGGTCAAGTCATTCGGGACCCCTCCTGTCTCCCAGGAGCTATTCCCATCGCCAATTCCACAATTTCTGTTTCCCATTTCTTTTCATCAATAATTTTCTCTAGTATTTAAAAAACGTTTTGGGATCACTATGTCCACGAGCAAATGGGCTTTGTTATTATTAGTAATTTCCAAAATATAATTGAAGAAACCAAGCAAATGCAGATACACATATTTTTAATAGTGTAGGGGAATAAAGAAAAACAATCCAAGAATTGATTTTATCAGTACATTTGTTCCTATGTTCCATTTAAGTTCATGCAAATTTCTTATACATTGCTAAGAAAATTCCTATGCAAAATTTATTTTATCATAAAGACAATTAAAATTTCCCTATTTCTTTGACAAAACAGGAAATGCTACAGCAAAATCCATTTATGATCAATGTCAAGGAAATCATTTTTGCATCAGAAATCACAATTAAACAATAATAACAGGAAAAATAGATGTGAGATCAGAATTATTCATCAAGTCATGTTTTCAAATTACTTCAGTGTCTCAAAAAAGGAAGATTTCAAAATTCATAGAGGAAGCATTGCTGAATCTCCAAGTAACACAAATAGACACTAAGATTCTATGCATGATATTTTACCCCCTCCACCGCCCCTTAACTACTTAGGAAACATAAGCACAGGCAGAGAATGGGCCTCATTTGACAGGGGTGAGAATTATGCCTCTGACAAGCAGGTAGAACACTGCCTCTCACTGCCACCATCTTCCCCTCAGAGGCACTCAGTACAACATTTTACTCTCTCAAACCCTGCTCACAGAGATGTGGGCAAGACCCAGGATCTAACCCATCAAGCGCAAATACATGCTCCAGAATTTTCATCGGGTCGGTTTCAGCATGGGCCCTTGGACCCCACAGGAACTCATAGCGAGCAGGATTACTGTTAAGAATACGCTGGTGCACTAGATACCCTTCCCGTACCAAATCCTCTGTGATGAATTTCCAGGGCTCCCCAAAAACAACTTGATCACTCTCAACTAATATATTCTTATTTCTCAGCATTTCCCTCAGGTGCTCTTCAGTGATTCTGTTGCTCTTTAGGAAGATGATACTCAGGATGAGTATCAGGAGGTCGGCTTTAGGAATAATCAGATCATCAACATCCAGCATCCCACTATAAGTGAGGCCCAAGACCGGTATAAACTCATATGTGTGGCCAGGAGGACTCACTTCCCTCATAATAATGCCAAAACCCATACGCATGCACTCACAGAGTTCCGTAAGGATCAGAGGGAAGTGATCTTGGCAATCACCGCCCAGAATGTGCAGCATTTCTTCCTCGGTGATCTGCTCCTTATTTTGATACTTTTGGAGCAGAAATCTCAGAATCTTATCTAATTTGTCATTTGGAAACACAGGCTGCGTGACCTGAGGGGCCTCCCTGCCCTGTGAGGGACCTGGAGCCTCTGCTCCTTGCCTGCTGGAGCCCGCACGACATTCACTGCTTTCACTGGAAGCCATAGCAGCAGGGGGAGGGGAGATGGCCTGAGCATTCTGAGGACAACTTGATGCCCCACGCTCAGGCTCTTCTCTTGCTGTGGCCTCAGCCACACTACAGGAGGAAGAGGAAACGGACGAAGCTGTGGCTGCTGCTTTCTTCTCATCTCTGAGTTCCCGGGCACTTCTTGGGCCAGAACGGCCTCTGCTGAGCTTTCTCTTTTGCCTTCTCTGACCACGAGGCATCCTGATGTTCTGTGTAGACAGCAAAACCTTGTTTTTGAAGACTGAAAAACCTGCAAGAGAGAGGGAGACTATTAGTATTCTCAGAACAAACCCACACATGTTGCCTCCCTCAAATTTCCATCAAGTGTTTTCTCGTTGTGGGATGCTTTATGACTTGACAGACTCTTGTCTTCACCCAGCATGGTCCCTTTGATCCTTCACATAAAGTGAGGCTGCTCCTCAGCCTGCAAATGAGCTACATAGAACAAGGCTCTCTGGAAGTCAGTATCTCATAAGGAGCCTAGGAACTACAAAGTCTGTGCTCAGGGACAGTGGAAACCGCAGGTTCACATCTGAGCAGCACCTTACCTTGATCACTGACACTGCAAAATATACTTGAGGCAAGCTCTCCAATAACATTTCTCCCTCCCTGGTAGAGACTAAAATCACTCTGGGGACCCCATGTATGGTCACATCTTTCTGGCCAAAACAAACATAGGTCATAATAACATTTAGTGGGTAAATGTGTCCAAAAAGGGAACCTGCTCCATCTTCATCATGGTAAATGTTTCTGTCTAGGAACCTCTTGGCAATGACTTTGTGCTACATTCATTAAAACACAGCAACACTGCAGTTCAGCACTCACAGAAAATGTGGGGGGCTGGGAGTCCCCCTAATGTTCCCTGTATCTGACTGTAGGTGAAACACGGCACAATTTGAGGACAGGTTGCTTTGCCTTTAGGCAAGAGGGTTTCCTCTGCCTCACCTAGAGCTTTGTTAGATGCTGGGTCCTACCTCTCTTGTCCTCCTTCTAGCCCCCTGTACTAAGGCTTTCACCTCATGATACCAATCAGCCAGAGCCAGGGAGACACCTCAGCCTCAAAGCCCTGACAGTGTTCACGAGATGACAGCAGGCAGAGGTCCAGTGTCAGAGGACCGTCCACTTGTCCATGTTCAGATCAAGAATAGCCTAACTCCTTCCTAAGGGTCCTCATCCTGATTCTTTGTAGATATTGGGTCACTTGTGAATCACCTCACCTGGTGGATTTCCCTGTTCTAACCTGAAGCTACCAACCCTGATCTAGTACCTTGCCTTCCTGAGATCTTCAGATTTCTCCAAGTGAGCAGGCACCCATCATGTCACCCCTTCATGAGGAATTTAGTTTTGACAGAAGGACCCATGCCCATTTGTACTGCGATGCAGGACCCCTGCTATGGCTTCAGTCTAGATTTCCCCTAGAAGCCCCAGAGGCTCATAGGCAGGACCATTGAAAGGTGACTACGTTACGTGCGTGTGTAGTTGACACACTCTTAAGAGTTGGGACCTTTCAGGAAGGGGAGGGTTCCTGGTGGGGCACAGAGGTTACGTCTTCCTTCCTGGCTCCCTTTATACCCTCTGTTTCCAACTTGTGGGGAGTAGTTTTTCTCCCAGCATGCCTTCTCTCTGCTATGCTTCCTTGGAGCAGACTAACTGTGGACTGCAATCTCTATAAATTTTGAGCTTAAACCATATTTCCTTCCACTAAACTACAAATATCAGATATTGTATCTCAGCAATGAGAACAAAAGTAAGATGATCTTTATGTGTTTCTGTAGTTTCTCCATCATCCTGGTGTTGGAGCCTGCATTCCCTCACTCTTACCCCCCCTGAGATGAGCTGATTGCTCCTTTCTGATCAAGGCCTCATCCCATGAAAAAGCCCTTCCAAGGCCATGGTGGAAGTAATAAAGGTCACTAAAGCTTCACAGGGCTGACTTGTTGGAACAACGACTCTGTGAGTTTGTTGATTCTGGCCTTCAGACTCCAGGTATCCTCAGGGAAGTTCAATACTTGCAACCTAGGTCCTCATTAACTAACCACATTTAGCTCCTTCTAATGACTCATAGTCTGCATTTGGACCAAGTTCTCCACCTACTTGATTTCTCCTTCCTCCAAACAAATAGGACGTATATGAACAGTTCATATATAGCCATGCACACCAGAACCTAAAGGTTGATAACAGGGGAAACCAGGGGCTGTGGGGTCCCTTTGTTTATGGGTTTGTACTACCTTCAGTGCTTCAGTGCTGGAGAAGAGCAGAGTGGTGGCAAATAGCAATTCAGCCTCTTGAGGTTTTGGAATCGTAACTCTGGTAAATTCCAACTGAAGGAGAGAAAAAAAAAAACAGATGAGAAAAGAAGTTCCCTGGGAATCTAGGAATTTAGGAGAAACTCCCCTTGAGTCCTGGAATCAGCCTCACCCCTCCCTGAGCTGAGTTTTCCTCCACAGATTGTACATGGGAATGCAATTTGGTCTCTCCCAAATCCAGGTTCCATGTCCTGGCTCAGGGCATCCACACTTACCGCACAGCGTTCAACTGGACCTAGCTGAGCCCAGGTTGTCTCTACTGCTCTTACCTTAAGCAGAGAACCAGGCTCTGAGCTGCAGAGGTTTCCTGAGGCAAAGGGGTGCTCACCTGAGGATTCTCCACTGGGCAGTGCAGGGCTGTCAAGAGAGGCAGATAAGGGATATTTTCAGAATCTCACATTGGAATAGATCTTCCTGTCTCAACTCAGTTTCTCAACTCAAGCCAGTCCATTTCCAGTGCTGTCTTCTAGCCCACCTGAAATGCCCACCTCAGGACAGGGCTCTAACTCCCAGGTCAGCTGGGCAGGCATGGCTGGGGTGCTCACCCTATCATATCTTCCCCCGTGTGATGTGGGTCATGTCTTCTTTGTGTGTGTCAACAGAAATGAATCTGGATTAGCTGGGGAAACTCTATGGGATTTGAGACTCACCCCATCCCCCACCTGGACCTGCGTAAGCCCAGGCCTGTCTCCTCCTCCCTAGACCTGCAGCACAGGTTTCAAGACAAGGCTGTCTCTGCTCTCAAGGTGCCCTGAGGCAAAAGGAATTGATTGGCTGAATCCCCCCTCCCAGGGTTGCTGGGCTGTAACAGATGCAGATCTGGGTTGGTTGGGGTCCTGCTCCCTGGCTTGGGGCTTCCTCACTGTGCCCTTAGGGCCTCCTCTTGATCTAATTCAGCCCAGGTCCTCTCTGCTCCTCCCACCTGAAGCGCAGTCCTCAAAAATTAGTTTTGACTGTCTTCTCCTGGTGGTCTGAGAAAAAGGGGGTACAGGGCTCCCTTGACCTACCTGACACTAGATAATTCTCTCCCCTCACCTCAGACTCTCAGTTTGCATTGGGGAAAAAAGGTGCTCTCCTGAGAATTCTGCACTGTTAAGTGTAGATCTCAAAACAGAGGCTTTTCTTGAACATTCTGAGATCGTCCCACTATGCTGAGAATTCCTGAGTACCATCAACAGGCCCTTACCTGGATCTAACGGATCCCAGGCTCTCTCTTTTAAATTTCAGCCCTCTTACTTGAATTTCAGCCTCAGAACAAGGCTCTGAGTTAGTCTCAGGGTTCATGGACCACAAAGGGGTTTCTCTCCTGAGAATTGTCCACCTCCTGCTTCAGGACAGGCAGCAGAGGCTTCAGTGGATTGTTCCGGGACCCTCTCTCTGAGATGGTGCCTCTTCAGCCCTCTCATTGAACTGAGTGAACCCAGGAACACTCTACTCCTCCCTCCTGAAGCCAGGCCCTTAGCACAAGGCTGGGACTCTACACTGTGGCTTCCCTGAGGCAAAACTGAAGCCCCATCAGTGAACTGATTCCTGGAGTACTGGGGCAACAACATGGGAAATCTTATTTGATCCAGGTCCCTTTCTCTGAGGTGGGCTTCCTCACTCTCCCCCAAACCCCCCACCATGACCCTTAACCGAACCCGACCCGCTCGGCTTGCTCACCTGAAGTGCACAGCTCAGAGGAGGATCTCCAGTCGCACTGACCCAAAGCAGAGGCAGTGAGCAGATATCCTATCTGGCAGAGTGCACGGGGTCTCCCAGTAGGAGGGGAAAGGAATTCTTCAGGCTCCTCCCTCCTCCCTAGGGATCAACTCCTTGGTTCATGTCAGAACCTGTGTTACAGTTCTCCATTCTGTTCCCCACTGTCCAAGACCCTATTTCCTGGATACCCTGAAGCTAAGCTCATTATAGAAAATCTGCCCCTGTATGAATCAGGGATGGCAAGAGAGCAAAATCTGCAGATTTAGGGTATGCTCTCTCTGGTTTGGGACATCTCTGCCCCATTCCACAGCCCAGCCCAATAAATGCCAACTAACTCTTCCCACTCTTCTCCTCTCTCCTGAAGCCTAAACCTCCCAACAAGCCCTTCTGTAGCTCTAATCGAATGAAGCAGTCAGTGGACCCCACATCATGCAAACTGCAGAAGGCTAACAGCCTTGGTGGAAGGCTACTCCCTCCACTCCCAAGTCTAGGTAGAAATCATCTGCTTGGTTCCTGGCAAAACCTGGAGACATGTATTCTATGGACCCAAATCTGTTCCCCTCAGAGCAAGATCTTGAATCTCAAGCTCCCCAGAGTAGCAATTTCCTCTACTTGAAAATCCTGCCTTGCTGAAAAAAGAATGACAAAATAGCACATCTGGACTATTTGGTGAGGGTTTGTCAGGAATGGGGCTCATGCCCCCTCTGCTTTCCTGTACCCCTAAAAGTGTAGGGACCCCCTCCATTCCCTTCACCTGAAGCTCCCCCCTCAGAACAATACCATCTCTGAGATCCCCAAAAGACAGGTGTCAGGGGACAACACATCCCTCATTGTGCCTGGGGTGCAACAGGAGTAGAGTAACAGTATCTTATAGTTCACACTTGTCCTTCATAAATGTATTCACTTTGTTTCTTGCCACGGACCTGAAAATGTTCACCTCACAGAAGGGTCTGACTCTGAGGGTTCCCTGGGACAGAAGGAAAGAGAGTCTTATTTGATTGTAGAATAACTCTGATTGCTATGCATGATTTACAGCTATATTTTTTTCTATATCTCTTATATTATTTATGTTCTCTTAGTGCTTGTGTTGAAAGCCAGTCCTCACTCACAAGGCTGATTTCAGGTATGCATTAGTAGAGTCTGCAGCCAGACTGGCTCCAGTGTCCTGGTGTCCTGCTGTTACAAGTAGGTCC